ACCCTGTACCCCAGTGTCACACCCTCTACCCCACTGTCAGACCCTCTACCCCAGCATGGCCAACTGCTGGGTTTATACTTCTCTCGCAACCCGCTTGTTTTGCATAGGAGCTGCCAACAATTCATGGCTTTGATGTTTTTCTCCTGTGCCTTTTCTGGCCCTACAGCAATAAGCTTGGCGGAGGGAGCTGCTGTGGTGGTGTGCCCGGTGTTGGACCCGCTGCCGGACCCGCTGCCGGAGGGCTTTGCTGCTGCAGCTCCCTACCTCTGGGACACTTGCCCACACTGTATCAGTGTGAATCGAGTTTAAACCCTTCCTTCTTTGCAGCTACAAGTCCAGCCTTTCTCCTGAGTGAAATTGGTGTCTCCTGCTCAGAGCCAGCATAGCCACTCCCTATAGACAGTGAAGAACGGTCCCCCCTAATACAGGAGACACAGCTTAGGAAAGCCAAGTATTCTCTGTTTGCTAATTTTGATTGTGCAAATTCCCTCTGAATTATTTGTAGCAAAGTAAAATAACGAATAGAGACATTCCTGTAKATGATGTGTAAAATGCAGGAAATCCCTAACTAGTAGGACAGCTTTATGAGTTTGGGGCACTCCGTTTTTGGGGGAAAATCAGGGCCAGATAAAGATTACTAAAATTGGCCTGACATGCAGTTTGGTTTTCTGCCAGCTCTTAAAGACACTGATCTCTTTTTACAGGAAGATTGTGGATAGAATAGATGACAACAARGATGGCTATATCACAACAGAGGAATTAAAAATCTGGATTAAGCGAGTCCAGAAACGCTACATCTATGAAAATGTGGCTAAAGTTTGGAAAGACTATGATCTAAACAAGGATGATAAAATTGCCTGGGAAGAATACAARCAAGCCACATATGGTTATTATCTAGGTAAGAGAACATCTTCAGATTGTATGATCAAGGGTATTTGAGATTATAAAATATGATTTCTTGCCTTACAGTCAACAGGAATTTRGTGTCACATATAGGACTCTTGAAGTTCACATTAAATTTTATAGATGCTCAGAGGTCAAAAGCASTTCTTAGTTATTTATTGCAGCCCTTTGCACATGGGTCTACAGAAGGCTTTGTAGAGGTATCATGAAATGTACTGACACAGCTGAAATAGAGTCTCTTCCAGTTAGAAATATATTCTTTTTTAACATTAGAAAGGATACTTTAATTAAAGAATAATATATTGTGTAATTAACTGTATTTGTGAATTTAGTCTCAAATCTTTAAGTCTAGATGTTAAAAATTTAGTCTGTGTCTAAGCTGTAGCAAAGTTATTGATTAAA